TTATTATTATTATTATTATTATTATTATTTTAATTATAAAATTAAACCAATCAATAAATATCACTATAATACTATACAACAAAGTTATTTCATAATTATAATTGTATTTTATATAATACTAAATATATTATTTATATTGTTGTTTTTAATATGTTACCAGGGTCAGTTGTCATTGCTGTGTAAACATAATATAAAAAACAAAAACACAATCTGTAATCTAAAGTCTTGGTTTCTATAAATCTCCTGTTGCTTCTGATGAAAAGTTTGTTCTTTGACATGCAGTCAGTTTCGGCAGGGCTCATTGTGACATCAGAGCTCGTAATCGTGGTGACAGCCCCAAGATCACTCTGAGGAGAGGAAGTGAGGGCTGACATGCTGTTTGGAGCACGCTCGGTGTTGAGCGCTGAATGTGGAAAAAGCAAATGCATATTTTATAGATGTCAGCACTTATGTAGAATCAGATTAAGAAGGGAAAGACAGAGTGGAGGATGAGGACGGAAAGGAATGTTGAGCAGGAGACGCTGGAAATACTGTGTAACTAGATTTTTACATTTTCTGAAGAAAATATGAGCGGTGCTTGCCTGCATGTGTAAAACTCACCATGATGCTAAGGTTTTTTGAGTGGTTCTTAGAGTGATGTGTGCGGTTGCTAGGGTGTTCTGGGTGGTTGCTAGGTGGCTGATAAGTCCCAAGTCTTTATAAAAGCACTTTTAAAAGTGATAGCACCCCTTTTCTCATCAAGACTGTTGATTTTAAGTATCATTTATAACAGTCTCTGGTAAAAACAAACACTTAAACGAGCCTGAGCTGGTTTGCTGGTTTTAACTGGCTTAAGGTAATCTTACTGAACCCAAAATGTGAATGGTAATGTAGTTAGATTAGGTGACCAGCTGATCAAACCCCCTGTAAAACCAGCAAACAGACCAGTTAAGACCAGAAACTAGTTCATGCTGGTTTAAAAGATGTTTTTTTTTTCTAGCAGGGGCAGCACAAAGAACAGCTAACAAAGTCTGAACATATAAAAAGTGTAACGTTGTCCTTTGTTTGTCCTTCGTTGTCTTGTGATGGATCACTTCACCTCTCTAGGATTCTCTACCCAGTTCCATGATAGAGTCAATCTAATGCAGGTGAATTAAATTTTCCTACATACCGCCTTCACTCGAATGAATTTCTATCTGTACTCTGATTCGGCGTTCTGCACTTCAGCACTGGATCTGTTGGGAGGTCTCCCCCAATCTCACTTTCTTTTACAGTCCTTCTTCTCCATCCTTTCTCCATGTAGTGCTCATATTGGTTTTCCTCTTTCTTTCTCTCTCTGGAACTCTTCGTCTTTTCCCAAACGGGATTATTTACTTCAGATTCCAGCTGAATTTCTCCATTTGCCGCAGGACTGCCTGGAGCCACATAACAATCAAAGCAGGATCATCCTCTCCTCACAACCCCCAGAGAGATACAGAGAGAATATGGAGAGATGGATCTAAGGTCATGGCACTGCTGTTCTTTAGCTGCAGGGGAATAAAGGTCACAAACAGAGAATAATGAATTTCTATCTGTACTCTGATTCGGCGTTCTGCACTTCAGCACTGGATCTGTTGGGAGGTCTCCCCCAATCTCACTTTCTTTTACAGTCCTTCTTCTCCATCCTTTCTCCATGTAGTGCTCATATTGGTTTTCCTCTTTCTTTCTCTCTCTGGAACTCTTCGTCTTTTCCCAAACGGGATTATTTACTTCAGATTCCAGCTGAATTTCTCCATTTGCCGCAGGACTGCCTGGAGCCACATAACAATCAAAGCAGGATCATCCTCTCCTCACAACCCCCAGAGAGATACAGAGAGAATATAGAGAGATGGATCTAAGGTCATGGCTCTGCTGTTCTTTAGCTGCAGGGGAATAAAGGTCACAAACAGAGAATAATCGGGTGCACGACTGAGAACGAAATATTAAAAAATCTGTCATCATTTACTCACACTCATGTCGTTTCAAACCTGTATGACTTTTTGTTTCCTGAGAAAACAAAAGTTGAATTTTTGAAGAATATCCTGGACACTTTTTATAAAATAATAATAATGAACACGAATGAGGACTGTCAAGCTCCAAAATGCCGCAAAAAGTGCCATAAAAGTAGTCTATACAACTCATACATTATATTCAAAGTCTTCTGAAGTCAAAAAATAACTTTTTCTGAGAGTACAAACTGTTTTTGGAAATTAAGGTTGCTATTCAATTCAAAATCTTGATATTAGCTCTAGCTTTCCTTGGTAAGTTCATTAGAAAAGTGGCAATTGATTGAATCACCAACAAGTCATTAATAACGGATTTGTTTGTGACAAACACACAGCTTTTCGCTACACAAGATGTTAATTGATGGACTGGAGTGGTGTGGATTACTTATGGATTATTGTGATTTTTTTATCAGCCGTTTGGACTCCCATTCTGACGGCACCCATTCACTGCAGAGGATCCATTGGTGAGCAAGTGATGTAATGCTACCTTTCTCCAAATCTGTTCAGATCAAGAAACAAACACATCTACATCTTGAATCTATGTTCAGCAAATTTAGATTTTTGGATATTCTATTCCTTTAATTGACATACACAAAAGTATAATCTATACCAGTGGTTCCTAACCCTGGTCCTGGAGGCACCCCAACACTGCACGTTTTGCATGTCTCCTTAATCAAACACACCTGATTCAGGTCATCAGCTCATTAGTAAAGACTCCAAGACCTGAATCTGGTGCGTCAGAGAAAGGAGACATGCAAAATGTGCAGTGTTGGGGTGCCTCCAGGACCAGGGTTGGGAACCACTGATCTATACAATCTGTGAATGCTATATAACATCTTCTGAAGCCGAATGAAGACTTTGAGTGTCGATAAATATCATTTTGAATCTGAATCTTCCCATCCAGTGAGCTGATAACTTGAATCAATGAGCCGAGTCAGTCTTATTTGGGAATGAACAGTTCGAGACATGCAAAATGAGCAGTGTTGGGGTGCCTCCAGGACCAGGGTTGGGAACCACTGATCTATACAATCTGTGAATGCTATATAACATCTTCTGAAGCCGAATGAAGACTTTGAGTGTCGATAAATATCATTTTGAATCTGAATCTTCCCATCCAGTGAGCTGATAACTTGAATCAATGAGCCGAGTCAGTCTTATTTGGGAATGAACAGTTCAGCCTGATTTGTTTACTGGATCAACTGATTCATTGGAAAGAATTGACTCAAAAGAATGATTCATTCACTTATCTGTTTCTCACTTTCACTGATTCAGTGCTCCAGTCTTTCGACATTCAGAGCTACAGTATACTTTAGAAGACTTTGATGCTTTTGGTGTGTTTGTTATTTTTGGAGTTTCATATACTCAAAAATTCATATGCTTTTTAATATTTTTATTTTATTTTAAAAATATTTTAATTTTTTTTAGATGAACTATACTTATTATAACCTGATCACTCAAAGTTGAGTATCTACTTCAGTGGACTCTCACTCAGAATCTGCAGTCATCAAAACTGAAATGCAATTCAACACCTCATTGAGATTCACCTATTAGCGGTCACCTCGTTTCAATTAGCATGTGGGGTGGTATACTGAGTACACAAATAAGTGTTTTATTCATCATTAACAAGTCAGTGTTACGTAAGCGGAATTAGGTTTCCATGAATGATTAATAAGCTGGAACATTTAGTCACTTTAAATACAGCTAATCAGCCAAGGATAGCATAAGCTGTTAACGTGTTACAAGGAAGTTAGCACATTCGTTAACAGTTAATTGCTCCCCCTAAAAAGTTAAAATGGTTACATTTTTGTCAGAAGTATGAGGTCTTTAAGATTTTTTTTATATCAAAATCTCATATGTTCACCAAGGCTGCATTTATTTGCTCAACAATACAGTTAAAACAATAATTTTGTGAAATATTATTACAATTTAAATGAACTGTTTTCCATTTAAATATATTTTAATATGTAATGTATTCCTGCGATGAAAAGCTGAATTTTCAGCATCATTACTCCAGTCTTCAGTGTCACATGATCCTTCAGAAATCATTCTAATATGCTGATTTGCTTCTCAAGGAACAAGGAATATTTCTTATCAATGATGAAAACAGGTGTGCTGCTTAATAATTTCTATATGTATAATTTCTATATGTGCATCATCAACCAGAGACTTGATACAATTCTTACACATCACTCTCAAGTAACTAAAGCATATAAATATGCTTTGTTCGCTTGGGGATAAAAGTTCAGCTTCTTCCATTTTATAAATTGCATGGTTTTTAATGCAATTTCTTTTGTAAACAACAAATCATTGAATACAACACATGTCTGGTAAATGGGGTTTTGCTGGTACAAGGTTCTGCCCTAAAAACTTGTTTTTGTGCTCAGCAAGAGCAAAAATTTGAGGTAACACTGACCTTTTATACCAGTGACCAATTATGTCCATTATGCTGATGCTTTTCACAATATATTTAAACCTAATAATTAGTCATGGCCTAGCAGTCGACATCCTAGACGCTGGGTTTATTATTACGCTTTTGTTATAGAAAAGTTTTATTTAGGATATAGGCTGTACTTGCTGACAGGAATGAATCGTATCTTCATTATAAAACGGTCTTTATGGATACGCTGACCTTGACAGTGGCTTTAGCATCAGATGCCGTTTAACTCCGTTAACCTTAGTGCTGATCTATTGAAGGCCGGGGATCTTTTACCTGTCAAAGCTGTAAGGCATTTGCGAACATCACACAAAGGAACGAGTTTCATTTATAAAGAATCATTGTTTGGTGTCATATAATTTTAAGGTTAAACCCTTTGCCAAAGATTACGTTACCTCTCTAAGAGCTTACAAATTATTATAATCGTATTAACCCGTGGCCAGGGGGAATACAGATATTCAAATTGTTAAAATATACTAAGAATCACCGGCTCGCTGGACGACCCTTGATTTAAAGTGTAAACTATCAGATTTGAATTCAGCTTTAATCAGGTTGACTCAGAATATTCAGATTCGAGTCCTTTTAAAACCTGAATGAATTAATAATAATTAATTCCCTTAAAATTAAGTAATTAATTTCATTACAAAGCTGAAGTGTCACAAAGCGCTGCGTTGCACTCTGTGTGAATCACTCTGAAAGGGCAGACGAATCTTCACAGACATCCAGAGACAATGCTTCACACACAGATAGAGAGAGAGAGATTTCCTCGTGGATCGGGACAGAAAGAAAGAAAGGAGAGGTTATATGAGAAGCAGATTAGAGAGTGGGGGAAAAAAGAGAAATGAATTAAAGATGACAGTGAATCATCTATGAGGATTTGAGGGTAGAGTCATGTATGAGTAGAGTTGAGAGGAAAAGGCCTCTGTCAGTAAATCTAATGTCCCTGAACGGCACAGAAATGTGTGAGAGCTTACACACACACACTACACATTGCCTGGAGAAAGTTCACTGTTCTCTCTCTCTCTCTCTCACTCACTCACTCACTCACTCACTCACTCACTCTGGTTTTTCTATTGCTACTTCTCATTCTGTTTCTTTCTGTCTGTTCCCTTGTTCTTATTGTATAACCAGACTTCTGACTGTCTGCAACTTATTCTGGATATGAATCAACCACTTTGACAAGAGACTGTCTGATTGACGTGAAAAGTGACCAACCAGTTTGTTTTGTTTGTGCTTGTTGTTTAAGGGCGAGGACCATAAGGAGAAACTCTCTGTAAAGCTTTAGAAACGAAATTAATAGAAATACACTACTGTCCAAAAGTTTAGGGTTAATATATATTTTTTTGTAAAATATTAATAGGAATTAATTAAACTGATCAAAAATGACAGTAAAGACATTTTAAAAAGATAAAATAAAAGATAAAATATATGCTGTTCTTTTGAACTTTCTATTCTTCAAAGAATCCTAAAAAAATTATCATGGTTTCCACATTTCCACAAAAACATGAAGCAGCACAACTGTTGTCAACATTGATGATAATCAGAAATGTTTCTTAAGCAGCAAATCAGCATATTAGAATGATTTCTGAAGGATCATGTGACACTGACGACTGAAGCAATGATGCTGAAAATTCAGCTTTTGCATCACAGGAATAAATTACATTTTAAAATCAATTTAAATAGAAAACCATTATCTTAAATTGTAATATTTATTCCTGTTAAACCGCAATAATATTTTATTCCTTTTATTCCTACACATTATTCCTGTTTTTACTGTATTTTTGATCAAATGAATGCAACCTTGGTGATTTAAAAATGACCTAGATGTTTAAAAACATGAAAAAACAAATCTACGTTACTGCACTACATAGATTTTTTTTAACACATTTATAAACCTGAGCACTTTAGGGGGTGATAGTTACTTTTAAAATGTCTTTTTAAAGTGGATGTCATATAGCTAGTTACTTATATAACGTTTAACTCATAGATTCTCTTCCAACTGCCGTGACAGTAGTTGACCTCAAAAGCAAAATGATTCT